GCTTTTGCTGTTGATCGCTCAAGCGCCAGGCTACAGATCTTCTTTATCGATGTCTGCAACCGATTGTCCAGCTGGGTCGTTTCGTCCAGCATTCTGCTCAGGCGGCGGATTTCCTTCCTTCGCATCGATCTCAGACGAATCTGGGTCTTCATGGTCTTCCACGCGTTCAGAAGATTCACTCGATTCTGAATCCGCATCCGACATCCTTTCGTCACTCCCTGCTTCGTCCGGTCCTGGACCAGGCTCTGGCTCCTCCGGCACTGCCTCCTTAGCAGTCTTTGTCTCTCTGGCATCCTTCGCCTCCTTGGCATCCTTTGCTCTTTCTGAGAGCTCCTTGGCCACTTCATCCATGATTTTCTGGGCTTCTCTTGAGGCAAGAGTCTGGCGCAATTTCTCCTTCTGGTGTTCTTCCATCTTAATGCGAAGTTCTTCTCGACTTGGCGTCGTAGTAGTGGGTTCTTCCTCTTTTCCAACCAAGTCCACCACGTTCTTGCTCGGTGCATCCTCCTTGGCAGTCCAAATTTCCTGCTTAGGCTTTTCCGGCTCAGCTTTCTTCTTGGTACTCGCGGCCTTACCTGCTTCCCTTCTACGAGTGTCAGCTTCTTCCGGGGATAGCAGAGGGTAGGTTCCATCCTCCTTCGCTTTTCCCATGTGCTTCTCGTTGGCCTTCGAGACTTCCCTTGACATACTCCCATAGTCGCACAGGGCGAGCATCGGGAAGTACTTCTTGTAGGGGTTGTCATCGCCGCGATATCCTGGTCGAGATATTCCTCGCATCGGGAACAACCTCCTCGTCGTCCGGGCACGATCCGTTACGCGCAGCATGGGTTCGTACATGCAAAATTGGAGTGAGCTGAACTTGCATCCTTTCTTCCAATGTCCTCCATGCCAACACAAAGAGCACAAACTTTTTCCTGGGGGTAGCGATCCGTAAATTGTTCTTCCCCGCGAAGTTTCCGTTGGCTCAATATCCAGTCTTCCCTTACCGGCTGGGTGCATGGACCAAGGTTCGATACTTCTTCCAGCTCCTTTGCATTCTCTCCGGCTGGGAATGAGGCGTACGGAGTACACTTCCAGCTGCTGGTTGATTTCCTCGAAATCCTGTTCTCCAGACAGTTGCCATGGAAAGCCATAAAGAGGTTGTGCTTCGCCATTTCTTTCACCGAAGCCACGCATCGCCAGAGTATGCAAGAGCTTTGCCACTTCATGCGTCCACTCCTTGGTGAATGGCGGCTTGCTTCCTGGGAGGAATTCTTCTCCTTCACGCAACTGCTGTCGTGCTTCAGGCCAGTCCTCCTCGTAGATCCGCTCAGTCCATTCCTTTCCAGGAGTTTCTTCAGGTGGCTGCTTCTTACCTTTTCCGGATCTTCTTTTATCCCGAATCCTTTTCTCTCTGTCTTCCTCAGTACTCTTGGGATCCGTCGTCTCCGGAAGCTTTGGCATCTTCTTGGGCATAGGCATTGCCTTGACAGCTGGCTCCTGTACCATAGTCGTGCTTTCATATATGCCCAACAGGCATTTCTCCAAAGCTTTCTCTTCACCATACCGGATGGCCACTCTGATCGTCTTCCCCATTTCGGACTGTAAGCGTTCCGAAGAAAGCAAAAATGCATTCTGTGCTTTCTCCAGAGATTTACACTGTCCAAGCCATTCTTTTTCCGCGATCCGTGCGCTTTCCACTTGTTCGTTCTTCCTAGAGCGCAATCGATCCACGACTTCTCGAGCTTTGGCACGGTACCATTCTTCCGCTGGGTCCACGGATTCCACAGGTACCTTGATCTTACTCTGTTGGCGATTGGCATCCTGAAGTTCTTTGGCTCTCCGCTCGGCTTCTTCCACGGCTCGGATACGCTTTGCTTCATCCTCGAGTTCTTGTTGCTTCTGCTTCGACTCAGCCTCCAAGGTCCGTTTTCGTTCTTCCAAGCTTTTCAAGCTTTCGCTTCCGAGACTCTGCTTCAGATCTCTTCTCCTCTTCTTCCTTGAGAGCTTCCAGACGTTCTGTCTCCAGGTCCTTTCCTGGGGGATCGTAGATAGATCTGGGCTTGAAGTGCCAATTGTTCTGCAACATCTGGCTGTAGATACTACGGAAGGGGGGCTGATACTTCCTGTCAAGAGTGAACCGCTTATACTCTTTCTCAAGCAACATAACATTCTCAATCGTTCCTGCCACTTCCATCGCTTCATCCAATTTACGTCGAACACCTTCAGGACTTGTTGCTTCTTCCAGCTTCCTTTTCTCCTTCTCGGCCTTTTTACTTCTCTTAGCCTCTTTCCGGGCAGTCTTCTTTTCCTTCTTCTTTTCTCCTCGAGACTTGACTCTTCCAGTTGACGCCGGGGTCCTTGCGGGAGTTCCTCTTCCGGTACTGGGGGCAGCTTCTTCCTCAGGCTGACTCTTTGCTGGGGTCTGCAAATTGCTTTGCTCCACAAGTGCAGTTCTTCTGCTCTGTGCGCTTCGCTGCATTTCCTCCAGTTCAGAAACTCTTCCTGCCATCGCGTCCGACTGCGTTGGGTCCGTTGAGCCTTCAGTTGGCCTTCCAACCGGCGGCAGAGAGAGAATCTCTGTATACCGGGTATTCTTTGGTACTTCTTCTGCCGCCATCCTGGAAACAAATGTTCCCATACACAGGTTTCCTTATCCTCTTCGAGGGGATACAGCTGCGGTTGGATAACAAGGTGAGACGTGTTCATACACAGGCAACTTGTTTCCTGCATGCTTCCTTGGCTCAGCGAGATACTCATACAGAATCCAAACATAATTCGCAAGAGGTCCTTGTACAGCTTCTCCGTGATCACCGTCATGGCGAATTCAAAGTTTCTACTGTCCAGTTTCCAAGTATACTTGAATACTTCGTTCGGTTCCAATCCGAACTTCCAGGGTTTCCTTCGGCCCACGGGTTTCCTGGATCTTCAGGCTCTCTTGCTCCGCTACCAAGTTAAACTGTAAGACCCTGAGCGTTCACGCTTTTCCTGCTTAAGCCAAAGGCGCTGCATAGTCATTCTATACATTTCATATGCCGTAGCCTAGGCTCACCAAAGGTGTGGGCGTTCTATGTACAAATCTTAACAAGGACCCATGTAGCAACCACGCTCGCATCGAGGATCACATGGTCCTACGTCCTTCTTGCTCTTGACCCAAAGCACCTGTCCAAACTTCATGGGCGGTGGCTTCAATCCAAGCTGCCTGCGATTGTAGCGATCCGCCGCTGCCTTCATAGCGCCCGGCCAGTATTTCTTGTCTAGCTCGCCAGCAACCAAAAGCAACCTCGCCCGTGATTTGAACCATCGAATACAGTTCTCCGCTGAGCCGTTCTGGGTGGGTTTGAGGCCCTCTGTAAATGTCTGGGCAACGTTCCGCTCACGGCACCACCGGTGGAGGGGGACTCGAAATTCACGAGCACGAATCTCGACCGCCTTTTTAATCTCACCCACCGTGCACTCCCACTCCTTCTCCTGCTCCTCCTAGCTTGGATCCTTCGCCATATCGAAACCCTCGTCAGCATCCGGCGTCCATGCGGAAGAACTCCTCCCCGGGTTGCTCCTCCCTCCTCAACAGGCTTCTCCTCAGCAGGGACCTCTTTGATCTTGGGGAACGTGTAGGAGCCGACCAGAACAAACCTATGTTTGGAGCCGCGGCTCTCGTCTTGTAGCCCGCAGCAAACTGCCCTGCCACATCAAGGCTCAGTACAAATGCATCTCGGTGCTCCGCCTTTCTCGCAGGACGTCCTTTTCTAGAGGCCTGTAAAACTGTGAGCAGTCTCTTTAGTAGGGGAAGTGGTTGTTGTTAATGTGGGGTCCACTCCTTCATCTCTTTTGCACTCATAGCCTTGGCCGTAGCATCCGTCTCCATTGCTGTGCGCCAAGACTTACTTCATTGCCGAGCACAGCGCTTCATGAAAACCTTGCGGCCGAACCGACGGATCTTCACCCTTTGCCTGAGGTGGCCAACTCCTCTGCGAATCTCTGTGGCCACGCAAGCCCAGTTCCGAATTCGACAAACATCTCGTAGGCCTCCCTGGTCACCAAAGACTCCATCGACGCCTTCGATAAGCCCCGTCCTGCACAATGAAACACGTCGATTAGCAAGATCACCTGGGCGTAGGTAAAAACGGGGATCTTCAGGATGCTCCATGCAAAACCCGACCTCGAATGCTGAAGCTGATCTTGGTTGCACATTGCCGCCTCGGCCACCACTTAAAGCCACAGCATCCTCAAGATCATCCGGCTCTCACTGTTCACCATCACACGATCCTCCCACTGAGGTCCTTCTGCAACACCGCAGAACCCTTCTGCTGAGCGAACAACCTCCAAGGCCCTTAAGTCATGTCGTCCACGTAGAGGAGAAAAAGTCCTGGGTCCGCTTTTGGTCTGTTGAACGGAAGGGTCCTCAAGGCCTTCCAAGCTTCATGCCCTGACTCCGTAATTGCCTCCAACACCTGGGTCCTCATCTCAAATCTCAACAGGAACCTCAGCCATGAAGGGAGCGGCACCTCCAAAGACGTACTTCATGGCCACACCAACCTTCGTACTCTCGAGCTCCGCAATCAACCGCAAAGCGTCGCACTCCCGTTATCATAGACATTAACATCCGGACGTTCTGGATGACGTAGAACACACCCTTTCTGCCCCAAACGAGCTCATAGCCAAGCGCACATATAAGGGGGCCAAGGGGCACTATGGGCTGAACCTCAGGTCCCGCCAGGACCACACCACTCTGGGTCTGAAGGAAACTCCATCTGATCTTTTGATCACCTGCCAGCGTGACCTCAGCCGCGCGGTCACCTTGAGCTCGTCATTGGGTGTCGTGGGCCGCATAGCATGAGTGGCCTGAGCCTAGCAGACCCGTTTTTTCTTTGCAACTCCGGAACCATCGGCATCACATTCCCGAAGAGCTGGCAAGGCGGCATTCCAGTCCATCCCTTCGACAAGTAGCGCCTTTGCACTCGGCGTATAGACTGTTGCATAAACGCTTCATCAACCTCTGAGCGTCCTCCCGCCACTGCTCAGGACTGCTCAATCGGGACACCCTGAACCTCCGACAGCCGTGTAGGCATGGCGTAGAAGTTGTCGTACTTGTGGGCTCCTCCTTGTCCCTTCTTGGTAGCCGTTCCCCCCGTCGACGATTGAGGAGAATCTCCTTGTGCTGCTGCCACCACAGGCTTCTGCTCCTTCGTCTTTGTAGGGCAGTTAGAGGACAAGTGGCCCTTAGTGCCGCACACATAGCACCGCTCCCGTTTCCCAGCTTTACTCAAGCTATTCATGGAGTGCTGGTACTTACGGCAGCCGTCATCGGACAAACAAAACTTGCAAGGCCTCGCTCCAGCCTTCGGTGCCGGAGTCGGCATGGGAACACTGCCCGGAGGAAGCTCCGCCGCCTTGATCCTTGCCTGCGGCGCACTGCCGCTCGGCTTATACTTCTTGTACACCATCTGCTCAAACTCAGTGGGCGACGCACCAACCCACCCCAGGCAGTACCGACAGGTCCGGGGTTGAGAGTTTCAGATCCTTCGCTCGCTTGTAGTATAGCGACTCCACTGCCTACGGCTAAGGTGCTCAACGCCGGTGCCCGCGGCCTCACCCGCCTCAATCTTCTTCAACAGCTGCGATTTCTCCGCGGTGGAGCCCGGCCTGTACATCATCATCAGCTTCGAAAGTAGCTCTAAAGCAGTTCTCTTCTCGACCTTGAAGCCACCAGTTCACGTCTCACATCGTCTGGAACTGCCCCAAGAGTCAGTGCCGAACCATGCCTGTCAACCCTCATCCACTTCGGGTCCGCTGATTCAGGAGAGGATTCAAATCTAAGCGCGCAAACTGGCCCTCCTCCGTGTAGCGCTGATAGAAGCTCTGAGCGTCTTCAAGCATCGCCCTCCACCATTCACCGGAGTTCGTACTCAAGTCACCCATGACATTCACCCAGTCGCCGAAGTCGACTGCACTCGCCTCCGAAAGCTCTGCCAGCTTTGGCACATCTATCCACGTCTTTGTGACTTCCTCTTTGGCCTTCGTCTGATTCTTGGTCAACACAGCCTCGAGACCCTGCAGCAACTTTGTAACCGGATCACCTGCAATATTCCAGGCGCCGCAGTTGTATTTGCTTGTCCTGTGGCGACACCCCCGGCATACGCAAGGAAGTAGCTGCTTGGCCTAGCCGCACCCCGGCACACTCAAAGAAGTGGCTACAGGACCCGACACCCCCGGCAGAGTCAAAGAAGTGACAGTGGCTGCAGGATCTGACACTCCTGACACACTCAAGGACGTAGCTGCTTCGCCCGACACCCTGGGCATACTCAGAGACGTAGCCGCTTCCCCCACATCAGCCATGTAACCACCAAACAACCTCGACAATCCCTCTGCCTGAGGCATCGCTTGGCCATGTCCATCAGTCTGGGGCCTGGACCGATGAAGCTCTTCTCGTAGGCAGCGAGTTCATCCCTAACACCGCAACCACCTGCGCACCTCCTCTTGAACCGCTTCGGCGGTGCTCCCGCCGCTGCTCATCTCGCTGATTCCAGGGCCGTAAATCAACGGTGAGCTGTCGAGCTTGTGCACGCTGCTCCCTCGAAAACAGCGGCTGAACACCTGGGCGGGTGTGTGCTTGGCGATTCCAACATTCTCCTCCGCTGAGCATTCGCAGGACTAGAAGGAAACGGAAACAGCATCCACGGCGCCCCCCTTTGAAACCTGATGACCTCGCATCTCCTGAAACAAGGCACCCAGTCGCTGCACCCACATAGGCAGAACTCGGTTGACCGGAGATCCAGAGTCCAGAGTTCCATGTAGCAGCTATTCCACGGGCGTCCACACCATGTCCGCACCACAATCGGCTCTGGGGCCGGGCTTCCCGCCGCCGTCGTTACTGCCACAGCCATCGCTCTCACTGCAACAGCCTCTGATGACCAGCTCTGCCGTCGTCAGCCCCCTCCTTCACCACTGTGAACTTCGCGCACAGCAACCTGGGCCGTGTTTGGGCTCACCCTCTGCAGATGGGAATCAGGGACTGGCTCTGCAGGCTCCAGCATAGTTGGGCCCACTGGAAACCATGGCGCTCCGCACTCGGACACTCACTTCTTTCCTCACACTGCAGTGAAAGCACTGTATAAGAACCCACTGTTTAAGAACCTTAGCCCCCACCCAATCGGAATTCACCAGATTCAAGTTGCTTCAACATTAAGAGCCTCAGAATACCCTAGTTTTGGGGGTTCGTTCCTCACCAAGGAAAATTTGTCGAAAACTAAATTTCCCAACCCTCCACATCAACAAACCCTCTGCCCGAGCATAAGGAGCCTATGTTGGCTGGTTAAAGATAGGTATGCCGCAGCGCAGTGGTTGTGAAAGCGATCTAGCAGTGTGAACCTGCTTTTTCGTGCCCTCCTGGTGTCATTCCGGCTAGGGCTGCCAGAGCCAAGGTTGTTTTGCAAACGAAATTATTTTCCAAACCTGCAGCCTCCTGCTCAGCCTGTGCTCCCCGGACCCCAAAGCTCCCATCCACATTTCCCGGTACCAAAACACTAGGAGTTGAAAACGAAATTTTTCCAGACTCTGAGCCCTGTGGTTCCCTCCCATCCACACCCGCCAGCCCCCACCCAAGGCTCCCCCATCCACACCTACCCACACCTACGGTCTAGCTTGCTCTGAAAGCACCAGAACTAAAAACCTTTGGGGGGGGGGGGGGCGGGGGGGGGGGGGGGCGCCAGTAGTAGTAGTAGTAGTAGTAGTAGTAGTAGTAGTAGTAGTAGTAGTAGTAGTAGTAGTAGTAGTAGTAGTAGTAGTAGTAGTAGTAGTAGTAGTTGTAGTAGTAGTAGTAATAGTAGTAGTAGTAGTAGTAGTAGTAGTAGTAGTAGTAGTAGTAGTAGTAGTAGTAGTAGTAGTAGGAGTAAGAGTAGGAGTAAGAGTAGGAGTAGGAGTAGGAGTAGGAGTAGGAGTAGTAGTAGCAGTAGGAGAGTAGTAGCGGAGTGTACGGGGCCGTTCATTTTAATAGTGATCGTTTTTTTAAGACAACACGAAAAATAAAAATTCTGTTCTTTCCGACTACGACAAACCCGGCCCTGAGGGTGACGCTTTCTGTAGAAGCGGTGCAGTACTACTTTTTCATCCAAAAGTAAATGCCCGATTTTAGGAAGGCATTCCATAGTGCAGTGGTTCCACGCGAGCACAAAGGTTTTTGTTTCAATCCCCACTGGTGTCATGCCGCTGCGGGGTCCACCGAGACGGAGCTCTTTCTCAGCCTCCTCCTCGCCCTGTGGTCCGTGGCCCAAGGCTCCGATCCACACCGCCAGAACCAGGAAATTTAGAATCCAAAAGTACATTGCCTGGAGGCTCTCACCCTTCCCTCCCTTTTTCTGATGCCCCTGGCCATGCCCTCAGCCCCGAGTCCTTTTCGCAAAGCTGTGGAAATTTAAATTTTCCAGACCCCCGTGGCCCACCGCCCCCCGCAGGGAAAATTCGAATCCGAAAGTAAATTTCCTGTCAGCCCTCAGTCAAGGTGTCAATCGCGCTCCTGATAAGAACGTGGCTAAGAACCTTAGCCTACCCTAGCTGGGGGTAGGCTACTCTCGCAGAGCGGGGTTCTTACACAGGGTTGTCTGAAAACCCGGTGTTCACTGTAGCACGACAAAGCTTCGGCTTGTACTGTGTTGTACAAAGTGCAATCGACGACTTACATGCGTTGCTGGCTGTCGCCGTTCATGGCTCTATGCCATGACTTCTACACTGATTCTACACTTCATCTCAAGGGGCCCCTACGTAGCCACACTCCTTGAAAGAGCGGCGAGTGGAAAGTGAATTCAACTTTACATGCAAGCACTCACAGCCCTTTACAGCATCATCAGATATCATCCATTTATGGTTGTGCCATTCCAGTCTCACGAGTATCGGTTCTAGAGCGGTTTCTATGAGCTTTGACAAGTGATCTCAGGTAAGCGGAAGCATGCTTGCAAAATCGCTTCAGTGCAAAGAGCTGCAAGACCTTGAGACGATCCAATCTTTGGGATTTCTGAAAACCGGCCATGATAGCAGGCTGCCTCAGATACTGAGGATCCGTTGCCCTGGACGGCTGCTAGCCCATTGGCAAAGCTTCCGCAAGATCGTGACAATGTCGCCGCGTTTTTTACTGCATTGACTTTTTCCACGCCGCGAGCATGGGCGCGGTAGCAGGCTATGATGCATCGGCGATTGTAGTTTGGTCGCAGAACAACTATGAGATTTCTGCTGGCTTGGAACAGGTTCCTATCGGATAACTTTCGCAAGCCGAACTGACGCAATAGATGAACATGTAGCTTAAGTGCCCCAGACGGCGCTCCAGTGACATTGGCTGCTTACGACCCTCTTGGCACCAGTGCATTTACAAACGCCTCGACAGTCTTTTGCAGGACATGACGAGGCTGGCCACAGACCTGCTTGGTATCACCGCACAGGCTGACTTTCCGGCTGCGACTCCGTCTTGCATATGCTTTTGCTTCGAGGTGGTTTGGTTTGGTTGCTGCTTTGTGTCCAAAGTTGCGGAAACGAAGTTTTGTTTCTGAAAGTTGCGACAGCCTCCGACCGAGGCGGCGGTTCAAAGGAAATGACACTACAATTCTGGCACAGTTGTTGGAAGTGAAACACAAGCAGGTTTTTGGCTGACTGCGGGTCAGCTATCGAAGGCGCGGTCTCTGGCATCTCTGATGGCCTCGCTGCTGTATACTGACGTATGCGCCGGGTCTACTCCCTGCAACTGGAGATGCGTCTGAATTGGCTCGCAACTTCTGCCCCCGAATGGGAAGTGGAGGAGGCACCAGCACAGGAATGGCGGTGGAGAGGGAAAGGTGTAACCATCGGGACATCCCGACTGCTCACGGAACTGTTGGAAATTTATCGGGAAAACGACAGGAGCGTGGTGGAAGAAGGTACCCGACATACACATACTGTCTAACGAGGAATGACATGTTGCGGATTCTCGTTATGCTTTTGCCACTTGGAATTACCGGACAAAAATCATCAAGGAAGCGGGAAGTTAATGGCACATAGTCGAGTTGTACTGCGACTTCACGATTTGGAACATCTACGGAGAGATCCCGGAGTGTACCTCAAGGTAAACCGAAGCGGAAATGTAACTTCTTTCACATGAGGCGGGGGACCTCCTTAGTTTCTGCAGTTAGTTTGAAGCAGTAGTGGCCTGCAGGAAGCCTGACGTAACTTTCAGGAAAGAAGAAGGAAGTGTGCCCGAAGAGCTGATGAGCAGACCGGCTGTGCCGGCGAAGTTGCTCCAAGTGCAAGAGCAGGAGGCGACGAAAACGGACAGGAAAGGAAGACGGTCGGAAAAAGCATTGAAGTTCGCGGTACTAGTCATCTGGGGAAGTTGGTTTCGTTGGTGACTCAGAAGAAGCAATGTTGTCCCTGGATAGCCTGATGTATCTATATGTATCTTGTATCTCCTTTAAGTGCAACAGGCCACTGTGCCGAAGATCTGCACCGCTGCCTTTTAGTAGATGCTTCCTCTGTTTAAACTTCTTCGGAAAAAGGTCACGACCTCGAATCGTTGCGACTGGGAATCCCCTAGTTCAAAGGAAACCCGACCGAATGGTTACTGCTTCGTTGATTCTTGGCAGCAGTACATTGAAAGCGAGCATGACTCAAAGTCGTGATGATGGTTTGCGATCGGAAAATGCAATCGCATGGCCAACTCAACGAAATCCATACCTAATTCTTTTTCTGGTTTAGTTGAGTCAAAAATTAGTCAGACACCGTACCGCCACGTGCAGCACGTATTGAAACTTTGAAACCATAGCTTTCAGTACTTTTAGAAGTTAATCAAGCGTCGACTACGAGCTGGAGTTGGAGGAGGTATCCCAGCTTGTCGGCTTATGCGGCATCAAGTCTTCTCCTCCTCAAGACCTGCAAGGACCAGCAGGAGCTCGCTCCGGCGACCAAGGCCCGGATCACTGACAACAGGAGTCTCATCGGTGGACTTTCATGGTTGGCCGGACAAACGTGGCCGGACTTACAGGCAGCTGTGTCCATGTATGTCAAAACACATGCAACAACAGCCTTCAGTCGCAGATCTGAAGTTCAGCAACGCCACAGCCAGAAAAGCCACGACGCATCAGAGCAGAGGACTTGTTTTTCTTAAGATCAACCTGGACAACCTGATGGTGTTGGCATGTCATGATACTTCGCGGGCCAACGCAATGCCTCTGGAAGGAGAAGACGACTTCAGGCTAGCCTACGAAGACCATTGTGTTGGTTTTCTCAGCGGAATTCCAGAAGACCACCAACTTCGACAGTCGCGACCGGCCAGCACAAAGGTGGCCGGTCAGTATGGAATCTTGAGTCTCCTTCCGGATGAAGAACACCTTCGACATCGAGGACCATTGCAATGTGATCGGTTGGAAATCAGCTACGGCGAAGCATGTATGAATGTCGACTTTCACCACGGAGACGATCGCCTGCTCCGAAGGCATTGCGCAAGCACAGTATGTCCGGTCTGTGGTGAACACATTGTTGACTAGTAAGCTGGAAAGAGTTGAGGTTCCTCTTGGAAGAGGACTTCTGTGCCTAACAGATTGCCGGTCACTATGTGTTCATCTTCATCGACAAGGAGAACCTCGACCCCGACGGGCACACGGCTGGCTATGGACCTGGTGGCACTGCGCCAGACCTTCCACTTCGCAAGGGCCGAAGACGAAGTACTTGCAGGTCTCAGAAAGCAGACACCGAAAGCGATGCTTTGCTGGACGCTCAAGATGCAAGAGCAGTACCATGCGGGAAAATCAGGGCGGACAACTGCTGTACTGTCGGTTGCTTTCGGTCTTGGGTTTTGCCTCTAGGGTTTGCATGGGGTTTTATCAGGGTTTGACGCAGGAATCTTCAAATTTGGAGGGTCTGGGGTAAC